TGGGATTGAATTCTGTCCATTGTGTGAACCGAGGGGCTGTGGATTTTCATCCTGTGGATTTCCTAATGTGGATGGATTATCTACACTGCAGTGTCCCCGGGACATTGACAAAGTTCTGGAATTCCTTCAGCTGCACAAACAAGAATTTATAAATATTTATTGAAATTGAGTTTGTTGAAAATGTCACCTGTGCAGCTGGAAGTGAATAGAAAAGAGAAGCTGCGTGGGGGGCATGGGGGTGGCTAGGGGGGCTCGCTACAGGTAGGTTGGACTGGCTTTGTATTTCGAGTTTATGATTAGCTGTCACTTTTGTGTTTGAGGAATTCAGCATCTCTGTTTATCCTGAACAGATTAGGGTAGCCACAGGAGTATTTAATCAGCACCCAGAACTTATCTCACACTTGGTATATAACAGCATCATCCTCCGTCTTTCATCCCAAACCAATTGGTTTTACAAGATAAAGTCTTGCTGAAGTTTAAACTTCAGGAGAGAAACCCCTTCCATCCTTGTGAGCAGGAGACAGGCAAGTCTTAAAGCATGGAAAAAAAACAAGTCAGGAAGTGTTGCAGTAAGGAACAGTGGGGCTCTTTCAGCCCCATCACTTAAAGGAGGAGATGTTGAGGGGGGAATCTTGGAGAATTCTGATTGAGGCAGTATGACTTTGAGGGGGGGAGAAATTCAGGGAGTCAGGATTTGGGTTGCCTAAATATTACATGTAAAATTCATAAATATAGTTACTAAATGTAAAATATTAAACAGTAACATAAAATATTTAAGCATTAGATGAAAAAAAATACTATTTTCCCCTCACAGTTTAAACTGGGGAGTTTTTACTGCAGTTACTTACCCCTCACTTTATGCATTGCTGGCTGCAGAGCCTGAGGTAAATACAGCCACCTTACTTATATCTGTAGTGTAGAATTACCTGGATTGGAAATGGTGCATTCTTTTCTGCTCTGTCAAGGGAAACCAGATGTAATGTTCCCAAAGTGAAGCTGATCTGGAAGTGTTTGGGTCTTCAATTTTATTTTTTCAATTGTGAATTTTACTTCTTGAAGAAAGGAAATGTTTTATTATTTGGCATAGGTGATCTAGTGCAGAAATTAATGAGCCTAAAATACATCGACATGAAGTAAAACAGAGGATGGAAAATGTGCCCTGAAGTGTCTGAGTAAATTTGTGAAGGGCTGTATCTGTTCAGCAGCAGACTGTTCCTCTTTCACACACTTTCCATGCCTCTCACCACTGAAGTTTTTATTCTTTTGGGTTCCTTTGCCCTCTATGTTTCTAATACTTTGCAATGGACGTGCAGATGATTTTAAAAAGCTGTATAAATATTTTCTGTATCAGCTTACTCAATATCCATGATATTGAGTTCCTCGAAGTGCTAACTTGACTCCCAGGGCTGGGAGGACCAAACTGCACCGAAGCTGATTGATCTGACTGACTGCAGTCACGTTCTGCTCGCGTGCTTGAACCCACCTGCACGGCACAAATACAGGCACAGCTCCAGTTCTGAAAAATCAGATTCTGTTTTGCGGCGTGTGGGTCGAGTTAAAGAGCTTCTTGGGCCCTTGTTTTGGCAGTGAAGGTGGAGCAGAGTGATGAAGGGAGCTCTGCTGTCAGCGCTGGTGCACTCGCTGAATCAGAGATGGAACCACAGCGTAACAGGAGGGGAGGTGCAGAATCCACTCCCAGCTCTTCATGTTTCAGATGTTATACTTGCAGTTCGGGTTATTTGCTTATCTTTGTTTGTTGCTTGCTAAATTTTAAATGGTGTAAGAAATGGAGCTGGCATTCTTTCAGAAAATTTTGTATCTCTCTTCAACCGAGTTAAATGGAAGGGAGGGATTAATTTGAACTTCATGGTGTTTTAATGAATTTTCACTGCTCTGAATTGGCTTTGCTCCCTGTAGTGTCTGTCCTTTATTGCATTAGTGCTGCAGTGCAATATTGGAGGGAGAGATTGCTTTATGAACTACAGTGTCTCGGTGCTGCTGTTGATATCCATCATCTAACACAGACTAATCAATGCTATTACAGACCATTCCAAAGTGAAAAATAAACATTTCTGCTCGAGCTGGGTGACGGTCACTTCATCTCCAGCGAGCATTTAAAGCCAAGTAAATATTTGATGTGTACCTTTGTAAAAAGGATATAAGCAGAAGTCTTGTCATATGTGAAGAATTCATGGATTAGAACTAAAGAATAAAACAACTGCAAGAATTTTATGTGACAGGATGCTTCAGAGGTTTATCCTTTTTCATTATATACTGTGTTTCAAAAGTTGCAAGACAATTTTTTTAAGCTCATCAGGTTTAAAGGCATTTATTTTGCCAACAATAATTTTTACAGAATATGTGGCTTTGAAGGCTTCCCCTGGAGCGCTGTAGGTAACAAAAATGGCTTTCCCTTCCCCCTCGCTGTTTGATGAAATAGAGACTTTTTCTCTAATATTTAGTGGGTTTTTTTAAATTCTGCTGTTAATAAGTTACTTCTATATGAAAAGTCCCAGTGACATTTTCCTACTGCCACCAGCGTCACTGGCAGCTTGTGAAGCGGTTCCGTGTGGATGGATTGCTGCATTCCAGGTGGGACAGCAGGGGGTGGGTGGCAGAGGTGTCTCAGACCAGGGTTGCTCTCGCTCCCCTCTCACTGCCCCTCACTGCCAAGACTTGTGCCTTGAAGGAGTGAGAAGGGAAGAGTGGAGCCTTCCTTCTATGGATGTTACCCTTCCCCTTGGGGCTGGAAGGGGTCTACACAGGCTTTTCCAGAGAGACAGTTTGGCTGTTCACATCCCTGGAGAAAATGTGGGAGAAGTTTAGACATTGTTTTGACAGGGGATATGAAGACTGCTCACACATTTAGCCTCCTTCCCCCTATTGCACTGTTTTCCTGCCCTTTTTAAATAGCGTGCTCCCAGGCGAGACACACACCACATCAATCTGTGTTTTATTTGCCGAGGATAAAAGTGTTCGCTGTAGTGTCGGATCTCTGCTGTTTGAAAAAAATAAACGCTCCGAGTTTCTGCACTCACCGAGCTAAGGGCTCCTCTGGGGTTCGCCCTCCCCGTTTAATTTTTCCCGTTACCGGCGCAGCTCTGCTGTCCGGGGGTCCCCGCTGAGCCCCCCGTGCCCGGGGCAGGGCTGACGGAACCCCCGCTAGGGAACGGCTTCCAACATCTGCCGGGCCGGGGCCGGGCCGGGGATGGTGCCGGTCGGTGCGGGGATGGTGCCGGTCGGTCCGGGCTCCCCGGCGGCGGACGGGGGATGCGGAGCTCCCCCCGCACACCGACCCCGGGCGGGCCCTGCCCCGGGGCGGCTCCCCCGCCCGGCGGGGCGGTCCGAGCGCGAAGGGGCGGCGGCACCGCCAATGGCGAGCGCGGGGCGGGCACCGCCAGCCCGGGCCGGCCCTCGGCGGCGGCGTCACGGTTAGCGGGGCTGTCCCGGCGCTCGGCGGGGCGCGGTGCAGCCCCTGCCCACCCCCTGCTCCCTGCGCTGCGGGGCGGAGCGGAGCGGAGCTCGGCGGCGCCGGCCGGGCCCGGTGGGCTCCGTGAGGCTGCGCTGCGGCGGCGCCCGCGGCCGCTCGGCGATGGCGGCGCGGGAGAAGCCGGGGCGGGCGGGCGGGCGGCAGCGCCGCTAAGTAGGGCAGCGGCGGGGGCGGGGGCGGCGGGGCTGTGGCGGCGGCTGCGCTATGCGGGCCGGGCGCGGGGGGCCGGCCGGGACTCGGCGCCGGGGGCGGCGCGCCCTGCCCGCCGCGGGCCCCGGGGCGCCGGGGCGCTGAGCAACAGTTGGCCCCGCCGCCGCCCAGCATGAAAGTGTGCCGGCGGAAGGCGCTGGCGCTGTGCCTGGGCTACGCGCTGCTGCTGCTGCTCGCCGCCCTCAACCTGCTGGAGTACAAGTGGCGGCGGGAGCCGCGGCGCTGCGGGGACCCCCCGGGCGCCCCCCGCCACCAGCCCCCGCCGCCGCCGCCGCCACCGCCGGCCGGGAGCCGCGGCCCGGAGGGCGCCCGGCGGCAGCTGGTCTATGTGTTCACCACCTGGCGCTCGGGCTCGTCCTTCTTCGGGGAGCTCTTCAACCAGAACCCCGAGGTCTTCTTCCTCTACGAGCCGGTGTGGCACGTCTGGCAGAAGCTGTACCCCGGGGACGCGGTGTCGCTGCAAGGGGCGGCCCGCGACATGCTGAGCTCCCTGTACCGCTGCGACCTCTCCGTCTTCCAGCTCTACAGCACGGCGGGCGCCGGCAAGAACCTCACCACGCTCGGCATCTTCGGGGCGGCCACCAACAAGGTCATCTGCTCCTCGCCCCTCTGCCCGGCCTACCGCAAGGAGGTGGTGGGCATGGTGGACGATCGGGTGTGCAAAAAGTGCCCCCCGCAGCGCCTCAGCCGCTTCCAGGAGGAATGCCATAAGTACCGCACGCTGGTCATCAAGGGCGTGCGCGTGTTCGACCTGGCCGTCCTCGCCCCGCTCATGCGGGACCCGACCCTGGACCTCAAAGTCATCCATCTGGTGCGGGACCCCCGGGCCGTCGCCAGCTCCCGCATCAAGTCCCGGCACGGCCTCATCCGGGAGAGCCTGCAGGTGGTGAGGAGCCGGGACCCGCACATCCACCGCATGCCCTTCCTCGATGCGGGCCACAAGCTGGGCGGGAAGAAGGAGGGGGGGGCCGGCTCGGACTACCATGCCCTGGGTGCCATGGAGGTGATCTGCAGCAGCATGGCCAAGACCCTGCAGACCGCCCTGCACCCCCCGGACTGGCTCCAGGGCAACTACATGGCCGTGCGCTACGAGGACCTGGTGGTCGAGCCCATCAAGACCCTGCGGCAGGTGTACGGCTTCGTCAACCTGGCGGTCAGCCCGGAGATGGAGAAGTTCGCCCTGAACATGACCAGCGGCCCCGGCTACTCCTCCAAGCCCTTCGTGGTGTCGGCCCGGAACGCGAGCCAGGCGCTGAGCGCTTGGCGGACTGCGCTCAGCTACCAGCAGATCAAGCAGGTGGAGGAGTACTGCCACCAGCCCATGGCCCTGCTGGGCTACGAGAGGGTGGGCAGCCCCGAGGAGGTGAAGGACCTCAGCAGAACGTTGCTCAGGAAGCCGCGGCTGTGACGGGCTGTGCCGGGAGCCCCGGGCATGGCTGAGCCCCGCGGGCAGAGGAGCCGCTCCGGCTGCTTTCGGTGAGGGAAGGGAGCCGGCAAAGGCAGCCTGGTTTCCGATTTCCCCCAAAGACTGCTGAAGGGTAACATACAGTAATGTGATGATTTCCTTTTTTTTAATTATTATTATTTTTTTTTTAATTATCCTCCCCTTTCATTGGGTTAGATGCGATTTGGGAAAAAAAAAACAAAACAAACAAATAAGAGGAGAGGAAAATATCTGTAAAGCCCCTTTCTCCTTCTCTAAAGCACCAGGCAGTTATTCTATACCAAAATCTTGTTTATGAAGTTCTTGTGGGTTTGAAGATGGTAACAAAAACTCTTGCACAATTCCTAACATATCTTTTATCTCCCTTGGTGCGGAGGGGATGCCCTTGGAAAAAATAATGCTGAAAATCAGACTTTTGTATGAAAGCAAATGTTCGGACGTGATAGTAATAAAAGGAAATAATAAATGATATTCATTTTTATAATTACCTCAATTGTTTGGGAATTACAGTGTTGCTTATGTACAGCTGGAGGGGATGCTTGCTTAAAATAGCAAGGTGGACTTTCTAAAGGGTATGGGTGGAGGGCTGGAGTGCAACATTCGATGTGTTCAGAGATTAGGGGCTGCTCTCACAAAATCAAGTAGAGATCTCACAAGTGTAGTGCGGGTTTTATGGCTGTGTCGGAGCAGGTGTCTATTTAACTATTGTCTTTTTTTTTGTTGTATTTAAAAAGTCTTTTAAGTGCCACTGTGTTAGTGTCCTAAGAGTTTTAAAAGGTTTGCCATCACAGCAGTATTTATTTTTGTCTTGACATGTATGTCCAGGAGTCACTGTCAAACAGAAGTGGATCTACAGTGTGACAAGAGGTGCAGGATTCAAAAAAGACACTTACCATATTGGAAACATTAGCATGTGTAAAAACCAAAATAAAATTATATATGTGATATATATTCTATAGTGCTAACGATACATAAGATATGTAAGATATTTCTTGACACTGATTGGTAACAGGCATAGCAGGGAAGCACAGGAAAATGCATAAGATGATTTATTTTTTCCCTTTGTCTGTGTCCAGGGGTATATTTATGTATGAAGAGGGAGGAAATGTGCAGCTGTGTGTTCAGAGCTGTAACAAAGCTTTTCTGGAGCCAGCCTAGCATGGGATTTCAGAGCGCTGGTTGGACACTCGGTGCTTGTGAATTGTCATTGCTCTGTGACGGAGCCAGATGGTGGTCTGGCTCTTTCTGGGAGCTTTGCCTACAGACTGTCCCATTGTTAAAACTTGATGATTTAAAAAAAAAAAAAAAAAAAAAAAAAAAGAGAGAGAGAGAAAGAGATTTTGCTACTTCTGCTTTTGTAATTTCCTGGAAAAAGTCCTGATTTATTAAAAGATTAAGTGGTGTGTTGCATATGAGAAGTGCAGACACCTCAAGTAATTTTTAGTCCTGGTGGTGTTCTCTGCTGCTCTCTGAAGGCTCAGTTTGCAGCTTGAGGTTTTTAAACAAACGTGGTTTTGCCAAACTATTCTCTTAGGAGACTCCAGACTTTTCTACAGGAAGTACATTTTACATTGCCTATTTGGGTGTTGTGCCTTCGGAAAATGTGAAGAGTATGAGAAAGGAAATTGATTTGTGAAAATAAATTGATATAAACAGGATGCTGATGTGTGCGTGTGTATGTGTGAAAATATTAGTGATGTGTATAAATATATGTCTATTTCTTGTATTAGTACTCAGTTAAACAGCTGATTACTGGCTACCAGGCTTTTGGAGTTCTTGATGACATTTTGGCATTAGATGTTGAACTTATTCTGAAAAGGAGACACATTTAATAAACTAGTTCAAAGATTATTGCATAAGGTTGCCTATACACTTGCTGAATGACTGCATTCCACATCTCCTTCCCTCAGTTCATCTTCACCACTGGTAAAATCACATCAAACCTAGCAATGGGAGATCTTTTAATTGGCCTGTAGGGATGTATTCCCAAATTCCAGACAGCAGTGCTAAAAAGGGGAGGAATACTTTATTTGGTATTTAAAATATATGCTAAGGTACTGGTGTTGTTGTGGGTTGAGGTGTTTTGTGTTACCCCTGCACTTGTTCCAGTGTGGTGCTGAGCGGATTTTGGATGTTTGGGCTGTATCCTGTGGGGTTTTTTTTTTGTTTGTTTCTTCTGTTGTGGGGCAGAGCTTGAAAATCCTGATCTGCTTATGGAGCATGCCTCTTGCTTTCCATCCCTCCCCTGCTTTAGGACGCTGCCACCCCCCTGTGCTGTCCGTGTGCTGGTGGCAGCCGCGCGTTTGGCAGTGCTGCTGCCGGCAGGACAGCGTGGCAGCTGGGGAGCCCTCAGCCTGCCCAGCTCCCTCTGTGGAGTAACATGTTACAGCATAAGCTCTCTTGGGTTTGGAAGCTGAAGCACAGTCATTTCTGTGTGCAGAGTTCCTTGCTCTCTTCTGGGAATGTTTTCAGGAGGAGTTCAAGTGAGCAGGAGTTAACCGCCTTTTGGGAGCGTGAAACAGATGAGCCCAATTGACTTAGGTTCCAAAAATCTCCTTTGGATTCTAATTATATCAAAAAGCTCACCCTGTCATTCTGCGAGAGCTCTGGCTGCTCTTCTGATAATGGTGCATTGCAAGCATCTGCTTGGCTTTACTGATCCGAACGCTGTGCCAGTGGAGTTACAGCATCTGACTGGGGTCCATGGTTTGAGCTCCACCTACCCCATTGCAGCAAGGAATCCCCCAACACACTGTGCAGTTGTACCTCGGCGTGTTCTGGTGAGCAGAAGAAGTAATGCAATGCTCATTTGGTGAAAATAAAGGACTGCAATTTTTGTTTGGGCAAAGCTTCAGGAGAAGTGAATGGGACCCTGCTCGTGGAAAATGCTGGTGGGCTAAGCAAGCCCTGTGTTTCATGCTGCTGTATTAAAAGATAAGTATGGGAACAACTGGCCATTAAAAGACCGTTTTTAGTCCTTTTTTACATTCGGAAAAGAGGATTAAAGGAATTTCAAAAAAAAAAAACATAGCTGAGAAAAGTTTAAAATGTGAAAAATTATAGAAAAAATAGGATGTGAGAAAGATGATTAAAAAAGAGCTTTTCCTTTTGTGAGGAGGGACAGCTAGCTGAGGTCAGAACACTTAAATAAACTTGACTCTTATGCTTAAAAATAGTGCCTGGGTTTGCTTTCTGTCTGATTTAATAATCACAGTGTGTTTCTCCAGCTGCAGCTACTGCTTGGTGAAGAATCAATAGCACACACAAGGTAGAGGGAGCACCAAGCTGCATGGGAAGGGACACTGTTCTGAAGACTTGGCACGTTGGTTTGATGGAAGAGAAAGGCCAGTGGGCAGCTGTGTGTTGCTGTCTGCTGTGAACAAAGCCAGAAAACTTTACGAGTGTGGGAAATGGCAATGATCACTCAGTGCCTGAAAGCACAGGGAAACCCTCTGTCCTCCACTGAGTCAACTAAAACACAGGACAGGTAGAAATGTGTAAGTTGCTGCCTCTCTAACCTCGGAGCTGACAGTGGGAAAATCGTTAGATGAAGTGCCTTTCAGTCTTTGTAGCAAAAGGAGGAAGTTCTTTATTTTTCTGATGGCTTTTTAATTTGTCAGGTGTCAAACTTCACACCCTGACTGTGAAAAGGAACGACATTTAAACTCACAAACCGTTTTTCCCCTGTGATGATTAGAACTTGGATCTCTAGAGATGAAATACTGGTGATTATAATCAATGCTGAAACAAGTGTGTTTCATCCCGTAGGCCATGAGTAGTGAGATTATTCTGTATTTCCCCCTTCGTTTCCAATGGCCCTGTCCTTGAAGTGAAAGATGTTTGACATGAGCCCTTGCACACCACAAGAGGTGGTCTAAGAGCCAGTGTCCCAGCTTGACTCCTGTGCATCCTGTTAATGCAGGAATGGGTTTCTTTGGAGTGCTGAGTGGCAACCGTGTCCAATTGTGTGGGGCTGCTTTACGTGAGCAGATTGAACAGCTGCTTGTATTATGTTACTTAATCAAATGGATCAAAAATGTTCTTATTCTAGTGCCATTTCAATTAAGAGTGTTGTATAAATATTACTCTGCTGGAATTATGCATATGAATAAGGTAAGCAGATTTAATTTGGAGGCTCTGAGTGTGAGACTGCTTGCTATTGATGTACCCAACTTCAATTGTCAGTGCTTTCTTCTGGTTACCCTGGCAGTCTGGAGATGAAGTTTGCATTTTGTATCAGAGATCCTGAGCAAGATCTTACAAAACTGTGCAAGTTTTATAATTAAAAGATACATGGAATAACATTTCAGCAATACTCGTTATATTGCACACGTTTAAAGTTAAAAAAAAATAAGGTTTATCTGGTTTATTTGGATTCCCTAGCAACAAATGAGTTCTGTTAATGTGTCTAAATAGCATCCATGATTCCTCGTGTAAGCTGTCATTTCTGCAAAAAATATATATATATATAAAAAATGCATAGGGTTGGTACAACACAGAGTTGTTTTCAAGTTGGGAAATTTCCTTGTATTTATTTTAATTTGAGGCTCAGGGTTCCTTGTATTGTGAGATCATGAAAGGATTGCAGGAATGGGCCTGCATTACTGGGTATTTAGAGTTGGATCAGTGCAAATTCAAAGAGAATCAGTGCAAAATTTAAGGTGTCTCGTCTCTCCTCGATGCATGAAGAGCCAGCATTCCTCCCACACACTGATACCACCAAAGCTATGAAAAAGAATCCATAATATTAATGGCCTTGGAAATGGGAGAACTGGGATTAAAGAATCATTCTTCTGCAGTGAAACATAAGGCTGTAAATTTGTGTGTAAAAATGTATGGCTTATTCCTTCACAGAAGAAAATTCTGTATGCAAGGGACCCTTTTACAGCCACTGATGTGGGTGAGCTCTCTGGGGTCCACCTCAGTGTCTGAGCTAAGAATGTGCTTGTTATAAACAGGGAGATGACAAGGGACCTGAGGTTGGGTGGGAAGTTCCCATCTCAGTGTTCTCATCAGAAAAATTGGTGAGTAGCCAGGACAGCCTGCAGGTCTTTTAGTATGAGGTACCACAAACTTCTGTCTGGATAGAATGGCGTTATTCTGATGGGGTTTGAATGAAAATAGGGCTTTTGTGCTGAAGAACAAGATGAAAATTGGGTTGCAGGAACTCCCCAAACGGAAAATTATTAGCAAGGCAGTGTGAGTGAGGAAGGCTGGTAGGATCTGCTGAGCAACCTCTTTGGAATGGCATTAGTTGAAGTGGGAGTTGCTGGCTGGAAGGGGCTCTGCAGCTACAGTTTTAAGAACTCTGAAGATGGTAGATAGCTTTAGGTGGGATTTTCCAGAACATTTTCCTATGGCATTTTCGTTGGAACGGGACTATCCTGCGTGAGTCAGTGGGAGTTATATTTCAGGTTGCCTCTGCAAGTCATGGCCTCGTAAATTCAAATTGGAGGGGACTTCTGGGGGTTTCTGGTCCAACCTCAAAGCAGGGCCAGCTTATGAGATCAAACGAGGTTGCTCCAGGCTTTATCCTGGAGGGTCTTGGAAACCTGCAGGGACAGAGACAGCACAGCCTCCCTGAGCAATCTGTTGCAGTGCTTTACGGTCCTCACGGTGACCCACAATGCTTCAGCAAAACCAGCCCCAAATCACTAATTATGTTACATAAATTCACTAATTTCGTGTTTTGCCAGTGACTACTGACTTGGGTCGTGTCCTCATTTTCCCCTTGACTGCAGAAGATGTTGGCTGCAGCTCAGCTGTTGTGAAGGGTCAGCAGCAAAATGGCTAATGAGGAGTGATGTCAGTGGGAAAATGCGGATTCACAATTAGAATGCTGCATCCAGCAATGTCTGCTGTTTCACCCAGGAGGGATAAAGGGGGAGAGCAGAGGGAAAAGGAATTCACTCAGAAGAAAGCAAAGGAATACAAAGTGGAGCTTATCAGAAGTTGCTCTTTCTCTGCTACGGGAAGAAAGAAATGGTGTTAAGGAAAATTGAAAGAAAGAAATGATACCACCCAGCAAGGTCAGGAGAGGATGAATAAAGGCATTTGCATGTTAAAAGCAGCGAGGATAGAAACCTGAAGGATGGAAGATAAAGCGTGGTGATGTTACCATTTGCGGTTAATCACGGGATGCACAAAGAATTCCTCACTTCTAAATTCACAGCTTTAGATTCACCACTTCTGCTCGAAATTCATGATGAATTTCAAACAGGAATCATTTTCATAATTACTTGGATACTTTTGATGTTCCAATTTGTTTTGTGTATAGATAGATACAGTTGTT